ATAAATTCTTGTGATGATCTCTATCTTCATGAGGTCAACAGCAACTTGATCTAGACTAGAATCTCCAGAACTATGAACCAAGATTATTGTTCCCTTTTTAATTTATATCCTGAAGGTTCATCCACCTATCACTGAAGACCCTTGTACCCAGGCACAGCAAACACTGTCAAACTAATAAGCTGGAACTCATGTCAACATTGGCAGGTCTGGATCGCAGAAGGGGAGGAGTGGTAGGTTTGTCCCCTACTCAACAGAAACACTTCCTTTTAAAAGAGCAAAGAAAATGTATGCTGATGAAAGAAAAATCAGAAGCAAACACATTTTTGTTGGTTTTTCTTTTTAATTATAAAGCAAGAATATAAGATTCTGGGCAGCTGTCACCAGCAAGCAGGGCTTGGACGTGATCTATCACCCAGACCTAGGCCACCCCACTCTGAGAGCAGCTTAGACTCCACAGGGCTTTGAGCCTTTAGAACAGCGGTTCTCAACCTGGGGATTGAACAACCCTTTCACAGGGGTCACCTAACACCATCTCAAAACATAGATGCTTACATTGTGATTCATAATAGTATCAAAATTACAGCTATGAAGTAGCTGTTTACATTAAAAACAAACATTTACATTATGATTCATAACAGTAGCAAAATTACAGTTATGAAGTGGCAATGAAAATGATTTTATGGTTGGGGGTCACCACAGCATGAGGGCTTATATTAAAGGGTTGCAGCACTGGGAAGGTTGAGAGCTGCAGCTCTAGAAGGATACCTAGATGGAGAGGGCACTGCCACAGCCCCCTCCAGTCAGGGAAGGTACCTACTATCTATCTGTTCCAGACAGTTTCCATGAAGAGCATCACCTGGGAAAAGAAATCCATGACTAAGGAGAGCTCAGAATGTTACAGAGGTAGATGAAGGCACTCCCAATCAGCCCCGACTCCACTCTGACAGGGTGCAGGCAAGGCCGCTAGTAGAAGATATTGAGCGGGGGTCCTTCCAGGTCTTCCTGCCAAAGTTCAGGGTAGCCACTGAGCTGCAGGCCTGAGGTTGGGATGGGGCTGGCCACAGGGAGCTGGGAGGCAGGGCTAGAACCCTGGTCTTTGGAGCTGGAGAGTACCTCTGCATTGTGGCTCCAGCAGCCCCACTGAGGTTGAGGCTGTAGTCTCTGGCATGAAGGGCGGTGCAGGAAGGGTGGGCTTTCCAGGGACAGGCAGGGTTCTGGAGACACTGAAAGACTCTGCAAGAGAAACAAGAAGGGCTTGATCCCTGGCCACTGCTGGGAGATTTCAAACCTGCCTATTTCCCCAGAGTGTAGCTGGTGGTGGCTAGATGGCCCCAACAGTGCATTGGGGCACAGAGAACAAGAATCCTGGTTCCAGAGATGCGATGCCAACCTTCAAGTCTTAGCTCTGTTACTCACTAGCTATGAGAAGTCTCTTCATCTCAGTTTTCCCACCTGTAAAATGGGGGTGTTGATGCTGCATAGGGCTGTATTAGCAGAGATGAATAAGCAAATACAGGTAAAGTATAAAGAATGGTGTAGGCACGGTAACACTTAGTCATTAACATGACCTTTTATGGACCACAAGACATTTATGAATGAATAAACCCAAGAAAACACACAGGTCACCAACTCCAGAAGAATCTATACAGGAAGTGCTGCCGATACCCCAGGGGCCTCACTCACTCCTGTACTGAACTTAGAATTTCCTGGCAGTGCAGCCCCTTCCACCCTGGCTGGCCTCTGTAAATTCTAGGGCCATCCTCTCTTCCCCAGGCTGTGGAGATTGTTGCACAGCAGCCATGGCAACTGTGGCAGTGGCTTTAACTTCCCAGGGCCTCGTCTTTTCCCCTATAGCTGTCAGTAAGGCTCCTTCCATCCTCCCCTTCATTAGATAACCTGGGTCCTGAAAGGTAGGAGACCCTGTACAGACTAGAGACCACGTATCCACTCTATTTCCGACTGAAGCCTGGGGACCTCCCTGGGGAAAGCGGCAGGGGCTCTGGGACCTACCTGGTATACTTCAGTCAGCTCTGCAGGAGCAGTGGATGGTGACCAGAGTCCGGTCTTGTTCCTAGGCTCTGGAGATGTCTGCATGCCAGAATAGGCTTGGGGCGGTGTCCAGTGAGAGGTGCCAGGGGCTCTCCCTAGGCATTGGTTCAAGGGTGACTGTATTTGGGGACAATAAGGAGGTGTCACCCAGGGATCTACGTTGGCGATCCTGTTCCCAAGGTTTTCAGGTGAGACTCGGGGTCCGGGACAAACGGGCGGGGACCCCCAGGACACC